CTGAGGCTCAGCCGGGGTGGGGTAGGGGGTGGCTGTGCTTTGAGCCAACTGTCGTTTCTCAGCTCCACTCCCCAGTGCTGTGGGCTCTGCTCGAAGCAGAGGAAGTTCAGGTCAGGGGTGGGGTAGGGGGTGGCTGTGCTTTGAGCCAACTGTCGTTTCTCAGCTCCACTCCCCAGTGCTGTGGGCTCTGCTCGAAGCAGAGGAAGTTCAGGTCCATCTTAAGCTCGGGCCCTTCAGCATGCTGAGCCTGAAGCTGTGAGAGGGTGAGGTTTCTGTGTGCACCCCCCAGCTTGGGGGGCTGGAGATGTGAATAAGCCTTGCTAAACCTAAACTCTCAGGGTGAGCTTCTTGTACGCAAGACTGTACCAAAGAGGAATGCCATCTGGTAGTCAGGCTGTCATTTCTTACACCTAGCAGCAGTATAAACATAAGAGTGTAAAAGTATTTTAGAATATCAATTGCATGTAGCATATAACAGGGTTTGGGTTTTTTTTTTTTAGGTGGCTGTGAGCAGTGCTGCCTTCTTTTGTTGTAGTGTGAACTTTTAATCTGATTTTTAGTTTCTATGCAGTTATGGGCATTAACAATAGAACATACCTTAAAATATATCTGTGAATTCCTCTTTCACCTGTCTTGAGTATGGTCCCCTCTTCCCCCAAAGCCTTTTGATATTGCTAAACTTATTTGTAATTTGTTACCTCTTTGTTAGCTTACAGTTAACTATATAATTGTAAAATATGTTATTCTTCTATCCTTCAGTGCTTCACATGTAGTCGTCTCTCTCGTGAAAAACTATCCAAACTATCTGATTATAAATCTAGATAAGGTAAGTAGCGTGTTTTCTTTCTTGATATGGGAAACTTTAAAATTATTTTTAATGCAATCGATATCATCTGGAAATTTATGTGGATTATTGTTATTTATTAAGTTTTTCTTTGTCTATCCATTTGTACCTATGTAAAAAAAAATCAATTGCTGTTCATGTGCACACTGTAAATAATTATTTGCAAAAAAAAAAAAAAAGGAGGAAACTTCTGAAGTTCTAAACTTCTGTTTAAGAATTTTTGCAGCTAGGATACCTTTCAGGGTTTCATGTTGTTAAAGCTTCATCATATCTGCTTGCAAAATAGCTTTTGAAAGAAGTTTTTATGTTGTTCTCAAATTTTCTAGTGATCAGATTGGATCTTTCACAAAGCCCACTTAATGATATTCTGTGGGTATTTCTCTTTAGCTCGACTACTGTGCAAGCTTGAAGAATCTTGAAACTGTCTCTGAGAAGGAAAACTACAAGTTTATCCAGGTGATAAAGCCTTCTCTTCTAGGAAACTTGACTTTTTACTGATTTTTATGCCTTCATATCAAGGTAATGTGGTCTCCAGAGCTCCCCAAACTAGAAGCCACTGCTTTCATTTATGGTAAAGTTGAAATTATTTCTACTAACTCATTGTCAAGGATGAGTCCGTGTATGTCATATGACAGTGTATGTGACAGTCAGATGGCCATAACAGCATTTACTTCATCTGTTTACCTTATTAATAGACTTCATATTTCATCCACAGAAGTCTATGAGAATATGCAGTGTGTTCCGTCTCTTATACGAAGTAGTCTTTTGAAAGTTGGTATATTTTATTGTATAATAAAGGCACAGAGTTGGTAAAAGCCTCATTTAATTATGGAGATGAATAGTTTTAGGGGTGATTGTTTCACTTTTGATAGGTGGTATGGACAAGATGGACTCAGATTTGGCTCCTCCATGCTTCTCTGATGCTTAGATTTTGCACCTCCGAACACTGTCACTTGTCATATTCCGTGGTGTGCAGCACGCTCTTTCTTGTTTTGTTAGCACTAGACATCAGGCTACGTTCTCACTTTTGCTGCTGTTGATGCTGTGTAGTCATAGTTGTTTTGGAACAGGGGGATAGTAACAAGGAATGATGTAGCTGTACTGCTTCTGGACTAGAGTAGGAGTATGTTTTCACAGAACTTACACTGGTGTAATTCATTCCAACTTTCCAGTTGTTGGTTGGTTTATGTTTTGTTTTGAGGGCTTCTTGGGTGTTGTGGTGTTTTTTATTTATTTATTTATTTATTTTTGGAAGGAAGGTTGATCAGAGCTTGTATGCAGCCAAGCAGTTTACACTAAGAAAAAATGCACTGGAAAAATTACTCTGTGATGGACAAGCCTTACGATTAGAACTGTAGCACTATTACTGCCCTTAGGAGAGAGCAGAAAGGATAAAAGCTGTAGTGGTGCTGTAGAAAAGAAGCTTGTTTTGGAAGGTAGAGAAGTAAAAGTTTAGAAAATTTGCGTAGGGAGCTGTGTGAAAGATATAGTTTGGTCACAGTTTCTGTTGTTGCTCAGCATAGATGTATTGAGTTGGAAATTCAGTTTTAAAAAAGCTCAATAATTGTAACCATTTAGTTCAAAATAACATATGAGCCTGAAGTGTATTTATTGGAGTGTTTCAGTTCTTTTCAGACATGAAAAATAGGAAAGTCAGTTCATCTTCTTCCCATTTCTGACATACAATACTTCTTTGAGGCTGTTGTTCAGAATTGTTTCTTGAGAACTTCTCAAAACATAGGTGCATTTGAACTATTTTTAGTTAATTGCCTTGTTATTGAAAATACAAAAGTTTTCCTCCCCAGGACACTCCTCCTCAGGTACTATTTTGTTTAAGTTGAGCCAATAGATAACTATGAAAGGCTTTTTCTCAGCTTGCGTTTACCTTTAGAAGCTACTGTTCCTTCTGTGTCGAACTAAAGAATGGCTTGGGTGTCGATATCTGATTATCTTCTAAATATATAAATTTTAAAAAGTAAATTACCAGAACAAACAACAAAAAAACTATACCCTTGAGAGACATGAAAATCCACTTCACCTTTTATAATACCACTAGGTGTCACTGTCCGTTAGCCGGACTCCAGTAATGCTTTTATTTGTTGTGGGAACTTCTCATTTCAACCTCAGCAACCTACACCCTATACTTTTGTGTATATTTTGGGGGCGATGCTGTTTCTAATGTTAAATAGTAATATAAATGCTGAAATAAGTTTCGTTGAGACTGTTGCTCAGAATGCGTGAAACTTATATCTGGTCTTATTTTAGACATGGCATCGATAAGTTGCCTGAAACCCAGTTGGTAATGCTGTTTGTATCCTGTGCTTTCTTTGTAATGGTTTGTTATTTGATGCTTGGTACAAATGAAAAATTACTATTTTCTATCAAAAAAAAATTGTTAATGATTTTTTTTTTGTTGCTGTTTAGGGAGATATTTGTGAACCTGATTTTATTAAACAGCTCTTTGAAACTGAGAAAATAGATATAGTCCTTCATTTTGCAGCCCAAACACATGTAGGTGAGCATTATTGCATGTTTTGGTATTATTTTCCATGAGTATATTTGTTTGAAATATGTATCGATATTTTGTCTTTTCCCTTCATATAAAACAATGATACAGTTTGTCTCTACGAACTACATGATTCAATGTGTGCTCGCCTTTTTAACTTAAAGGAGGTTCACAACCTTAATTTAAAAAGTGCTTCATCTCGCTGTTCTCTATTTTCATTGCACATAAATGGTAATGCCCTTTTGTTTTATTACACTTTCAAATTCCATCTAGACACACATGTAACCGACTGTACTAGTGGAGTCACGAACACAATGGAAAAAGAGTTTGTACATAGTCTTAAGTTTTTACTTGGCTGGGTCCAACCTTGCAGGCAAAAACGCAGTGTGGAAGCTGAAGGATTAGGTGTATCTCCCTTCAGAATCCTGCCTGGATTCTAAGAAGACGGAGTGAATTACATTTAGAAGTGCCTATTACAGATTACCACTCTTTAGGAACACTGTTAAGGAGAACTATCGCTACCATACTCCTTTCATCATGAGAAGAAATCCTCGAAGAATTCTCCAGGAAAATACTTCTCAAAATTATCAGATTTGACATGCACAAAGTCATTGGGTCAGTGGGACTATTCTAAGAATTAAAACAGATGTTAGTTAATTAACAGTAATAGGTCTATAATACTGCATCTTACAACTGTATCTGAATGATACTTTTCTTACTGAGGTGGCTCTTCCTTGTTGAGGGAGAAGTAGTTATATTGCCACTTAAGTAAAGTTAGATGATGGTATTTCAAATGGAACCATCTGTAGCCAACAAGCTTTTGTTCCTGATTCTGGCCTCTTGTTGAGAGCAAGCATTTTGTTTTCAAGTAAGTATAGAAAGTATCTTCATTTAATAATGACCTTGCTGTCTGACAATCAAAGAACTAGTGGTAAAGTTCCAGGCTGTATTGCAGTCTCTAATATTATAGTTCAATAGAAAGCTATGTCTCACCTAAATTTAATCAGAATTGTTTGAATTTTTTTACATAGATCTTTCATTTTGGCATGCCCTGGAATTCACCTATGTGAATGTTTATGGCACTAATGTGCTGGTTGCTGCTGCGCATGAAGCCAATGTGGAGAAGTTTGTCTATGTTAGTACAGATGAAGTATATGGAGGTAGCACTGATGAGGTGAGTTTGAAAGTGCCTGAGTTTTTTTAGCGTTACTTGCTTTTAATAGTGAAAAAAAGAAGAGTCTAACTTTCCTTGGCCTCTGTAAATGTATGACTTTGGAGCTATTTTTGACAATACTGGAACTTGTAAACAAGCACTGGTTGTTTCTAGAAAGCTAAGTATCAAAATTGTCCTGAATCTTTTCTTGTAGGATGTTTTATATTGAATGTGTATTACCTAAAGCAGTGAGATTGGGGTCATTAATGACAAGTGAATACACCTCAGAGATAGTATCAGAGGAATGTATTATACAAATTTTGCCTTGGAGAATTTGTGAGACTTCAGTAATGTGTACAGTATGTTGTTCTTTTTTAAATTTTTTTTTTTATTTAACTTTTTCCTGCTCTGCCTTGACTATGAACTTGACAGGCAGGGAACTGTTTAATACTCTAACTGAAATAGTAACAGAACTGTAGCTACTGACAATTTGAACAGCAAACAGTTCCCGTGTTACTGGAAGAAATATGCAGATGTTTCTTATTGTTCTATGGAAATCTTTTTGATTCTTGACAACTTATTCCTGACCTTAATACAGGAAATGTAATTTAGCTTAGTAAAAAGGCAAATTATGCATGCTCATCTTTCTGAAGGTGTAAATAACGGCCAAGGAGTCTTGTGCCATAAGCTGTGAAATGACTACTGTATTTCAGAAAAGTCATGTGCGGTTTCTTCCTGTTGCAACGTCTTTACCAGTACCTTCAACACAACTTAGATCTGTAGGCTTTTATGATACCCAAGGATGTTCCTGCATGTAGACCAGTGGTTTGGCTGAGGCAACTTCAAGTGAACTTTTTCTGCCTCTGGGCCTTGAAAAGAGCACTTTTGTTTAATCTGTTTTCCCCTTCTCTTTGTGAATCATAATAGTTCTTTTTTGGGGTGGGTGGGTGTCAAAAAGTAAATCAGGGTCAATTAATTTTAGAGGCAAAGGTCAGGAAAGAACAGTGAGTGTTTTAATCACATGTTAAGGTGATTGTTATAAATTGGACCTCAGGCAGTGTAGAATCCCTCCTTTCTGGTTCATTACTGTATCTCCGGCCCTTCCTCCCCCCTAGGTGAAAAGTAGATAGAAGTGGCACAATGGCCATTAAGCTACTTGTTCTGGAACAGGTCAGAATTGTTGAAGCCTTGCTTTGGAGGGCTTTAGGTTGAAATTCTACTTTTCTTATAGAAATAAAGTTTATAGAAGAGGAAAAATGGGCCCTTTTTATTTAGGACTGAAAGGTCAATTTGCTAGCTGTGGTGCCATGGCACTCTGAGGCAATATGAGTCTGAAAAGGATTGAACCTCCCCTGTGGCAACAGTGATTATTTTAAAAGATAAAAATCTAAGGACCTGCTACTATGAGGTACTATGCTAGAAGTATAAAAACTGTCCTTTGTTATTGGTCTTCTGCTGTAAGTAGAAGGGTGACTTTCTCTGACTGGTGTGGTTGGACATTTAGGCATTTTTATTTCAGTTGCAACTGCAGCTTTTTGTAACTTTTAAGACTTATCTGGACAAAAGAAATTGAGTAATGCAATTTTTTCTTTTCATTTTAGGAATTTGATGAATCTTCACCAAAACGGCCAACAAATCCCTATGCTTCCTCCAAAGCAGCTGCAGAGTGTTTTGTTCAGTCTTACTGGGAGAGGTACCAAGTAAGTTGATGCAAGCTTCAAAAACGCTGAAGCCCATACTTAAGTGTCTTCATTACATATATAGGAGTATAAAAGAAAAATCAGTACTAGTCCACACAGTGCCACCTCTTTCCTGATTGCTAGTCTCGTAGTTTGGATGTGTCGGAGGCTGTCTATCACTTACTGGTGGAGATATGCTGCAACGCAGTGGGGAGAGGTCAAGTGTTTTTAATTTTTTTTTTTTTTAATCTAAACTTTAATGTCTAAAAATGTCCTTTGATAAAATAGTCAAAGAAAATGTTAGCAATTTAAAGTATTAGGCTTGAAGGAAATCTTTTTATAGAGAAGTAGAATATGCAAAGTTCAAATTCTATTAAGACTAGGCTTATAGAGAAAGCAAAAAAAGAAAGGACACACACACCCCATTACTCAGATTTGTTTAAGCAAAAATATTTAAAATTTTAAATACTTCGGTCTTTTGTTCTTGATGTTGCCTTCTGTGGTGTTGTTTTTGACATAAAGCTGACTTGAATAAGATGTTAATGTCCATGAAATGTTTTCTTGGAATAAGAAGTAGTAAGTTAGTCTTCAGTCAGCCAGATACGTGTATGTAACGTGTTTTGGTGGTTCCATAGCAAGACAGAGATTACAAACATTTGTCACTTGGGGTGCTTCTAACATACTGAGAAGGCTTTAGACCCTTCCTATTTGACAGCAGTATCAGTAGCTTAATTCATTAATGTTTCTAAGATACTTTTTTTTTTTTTAATTAATGTTTGCAGATTTTTGAATAAGCACTGTGTGTGTGTCAGTTTAGGCTTCTTGCTGATCAATAAGTAATACAGATTTTTACTGGTATGTATTTTCTTATGTAATCACATGCATGTTTAATGCTTTTAAGTTCCCAGTTGTTATCACACGGAGCAGTAACGTGTATGGACCACACCAGTACCCAGAAAAAGTAAGTTAAACCTGTGCTTTACTCTGAGATTCATTATACCATAATTTAGGGTTGTAGTGACGTTACGTTTTTCCCATAAGAATGGACTGAACAGTGAACACAGTGAACTTGTGTTTTCTGGTGGTCAGTAAAGCATCAGTTAGAGAATTCTATTTGTTTAATTGAGTTTTACTACAATGCCTTTGTTTTGTAATTTTTTTTTTAGTTTTCAAAAGATATTTAGCTGCCCCGTGTCATGGCAGGATTCCCTTACAAATTAAATTAACTCGCATGTCATGTGCTGTAATTAGGAATGTTTAATAAATAAGGTAAACATTTAAAAAATATGTCTGGTATAGAATAAGATGTTGCAACCCGTACAGAAAATAGGTAAGGTAAAGTTATAGCAATCAGATACATGGTGAGAAGTAGTGGAAAGCAACTTGTTTTCTGCATGCGTCCACACATACTTTGCGGGGTAACTATTTAAAATGGTTATTAGTGAGAGGGAGTTGCCTTTGTAGGCAGTACCAAGATCTGCTATGCTGGTGAATGAAAATAAACGGATGGAATGATAGTGATAATCACATGTACTCTTTATGGTTTGGAGCTGATGTGAAATGTAGCTATAGTTTTGCAGTTCTATTGAGATATTTTTTAAGTTGAATTGCTTTTTACGTG